GGTGGTAATTAACAAATTATACAGAATGTTCCTTCTGAAAAGTAAACTGTTTCTGCTCTGTCTATAACTTTCAGATTATCTTTTTAAAAATGCTACTATCACCTGTGGAAGGATCCTCTCTGTACATTGACAGCTGCATCTAAAGTGTGTGTGGGGGGGGAATAGGCAATGCAAGATAATGAGTATAATATAGCTAATGTTGCAGTGCTGTTAATCTTCTGCCAAGATTGTATTATTGGATGAGTGAGTCTACATTCTAAGCCTTTCTGTTCTGTGTCCAGAAACAATGAAAATAAGATGACATATTTGTATAAAATTACACATTTCAATTTCTCTTATTATTCAGATTTATGTTAATAGATACTGAAGAAATTAGCTTTGCAGCACTTTAGCAAAAGCCAAAAGATATTTCAGAAGCCAGCAGTGGCCACTTTAAGCAGTTTCAAACAGGTATTACAGCTGTGCCCAGATGCTGTTTTATCTCAAGTATTACATATACTTAATGATTAGGTCAAGTGAAGCAAGTGTCATTGGTTAGTTTAAATTTCCTTCCTTAGGAGTTGATTATGTGCTATCAAGTCAGTGTCAATTCTTAGTGACCATATAGATAAATTTTCTCCATGAAGGTGTCCCTAATCTGGCCTTTAACAGATAGAATTGTAGTTATGTTATTTTGGTTAGTTAGTAAAGGGTCTCAAATGCCAGATCTCTGGGTTACACATTAATCTGAGTTTTAAGAAAACAAAAATAAAATTGTGAATAATCATGGATAATAGTGCCTTTACCTCTGAAATGTATGACAAGCAGTGCTTGGCAGATTGTCTTATTTTTCAGATTTAGAGATATTCACATCTATTTGCCACAAGGATCAAAGCAAGATTAACTCCTCATTGTACTTTGGAGAAATCTGCTCAGCACTTTCTACCTTTCTTCCCTTTTAGAGCTAGCTGTGAAACAACATTTTAAATTGCTGCTTTTCAAATTTGCATGTAGCAAAAAGAGCTGAAAAAAAGTTTGATTTATTTTTCAGATGAATAAGAACAAAATTGCAACATAAAACATAGTCAGCCACTTATAGCTGAAATTGAATTTAATTATTTCAAGGAGACATTCTCAAGTAACTTGCACTATAACCCGAATTACTATGGAAAAGTGTCTAAGCATTAGCCAATTTGTTTCTTCACTTGTTACTTCATAGTAGTTCTTAGCATCCTGTCTTGGTAGTAGAATGGTGTACCATTTTGGTTTAAGATATTTTGCTGTATTTAATGTTGATTCAGCCTTCCCGAATCTGTTATTCTTCAGGTATGTTGGATAGGAAGTCTAAATATTTCCAGCCATTATTAGTCCCCACGCCAGGTTAAGGATCACACTTAACAAGGGAGGGGCCATGGAAGGGGCCATAAAAATAAGTCGGTAGGTTCAACCGGGTGATCGATGCCTGTTTTTATGTGTGCCATAGACAGCATCTTCTTTCTTATCCAGCACACACTCTCATAAACATTCCTGAGATTAAGAAAAGCTGTGTCACAATTTCTAGAGGTAATCATATGAATTTGTTGCAGCAGAAGTGTAAATACATTGTGTCTTTAAAAAACCAACATTGTTATTAGAGCATAAACCTTTGTAAAGTATAGGTACAGAGAAAAATGGATTATAGGAAAGAATCTAGAGGAAAACAAAATGTTGCTAAGTGACAGAAGGACTCTTCATTAAATTGCTATACTTTCCAGCTGAATGATTTTCTTGTGAATCTGCATGGCTCAAACCGGTTGTTTGTACACCATATATTTCAGGTTGCTCCTAACAGAATTTTATGTACAAGCCAGGCTGTGTTTTGAGAGATGGGCTGCTACACAAATCTGATTAATAAATGAATTTGATTAATAAATACTGTATATGGGAGTCTCCCATAGACTGGCTTCATCCTATAATAAACAGATACCACATGGTTTTCATTCAAATGATAGGGAAGAAACAAAACTCAGCAGTTCAGTCCCTGGTTCTCCATTTAAATAGTTAGAAAGTAATGAAAAATCTCCTACTAGAGAACTTAAGAAGCACTGTCTGTCAAAATATGCAACAGTGCAGGTAGTGCTCGACTTATGACCACAATTCAGCCCAAAATTTCTGTTGCTAAGTGGGACAGTTGTTAATTGAGTTCCCATTTTACGACCTTTCTTGCCCCAGGTGTTAAGTGAAACACTGCAGCTATTAAGTTAGTAACATGGTTGTTAAGTGAATCTGGCTTCCCCATTGACTTTGCTTGTCAGAAGACTGCAAAAGGGGATCCCGAGACACAGCAACCGTCATAAAGATGAACCAGTCACCAAGGATTTGAATTCTGATCACAGGCTTATGAGGAATGTGCAATGATCGTAGGTGGTCATAAGCCACTTTCTTCAGTGCTGTTGTAACTTTGAACGGTCACTAAACGAATGATTGTAATTTGAGGACTGCTTGTAGTTTATTTATAACTGAGAGCCAGTGTGATCTACTCTAATCAACTTATGATTACAAATGAGTCCAAAATTGCTAAGCAAGAGAATTGTTAAATGAGTTTTGGCCCCATTTTACAACCTTTCCTGCCACAGTGATTTAAGTGGCCACTAGGTGAATCACTGCAGATGTTACATTAATAACATAGTTGTTAAGTGAATCTGGCTTCCCCATTGACTTTGCTTGTCAAAGGGTCACAAAAGGTGGTCACACATGAACCTGGGACACTGCAACCCTCATAAATAAATGTCAGTTGCCATGTGTCTGAATTTTGACAACATGGGAATGCTGCAATGGTTGTAGGTATGAAAAATGGTCATCAGTTACTTTTTCTGTACCATTGCAACTTTGGATGGTCATTAAATGAAAGGTTGTAAGCCAAGGGCTACCTATAGTGGTGGTTAAGGCTCTGGACTAGACCCTAAGAGACTGTGAGCTCTAGTTTTCCCATATGTATGAATGCCCGCTGGATAACTTTTGGCCTGTCACTCCCTTTCAGCCCAACCCCTCTTTACAGAGTTGTGGTAGAAAAAATAGGAGGTGGAAGGCCTTGAGTTGTAAAAACAATGGGGATAAAAATCAAATAAAAAACAATGCGATACAGGATAGCTTCTTATATTCATAAGACATTTATATCCTTATGAAAACCCAGCTCTTATTTGTGTACCTTTTACATACATATTAAGAGCTCTTATGCAAAAAGAAGATTGCCATATATTATAATATAGGACTCATAAAAATTTAGACACACAAAAATGGGGCATAAGAAGGAAGCAAAGTGATAGTATAAAAATATATCTATTTTAGTTTTTTTTCTCTCCCCAGTATTAATCTCAAGACTTATGCAGAAATATAGGCAACACTGTAGTATTATTTGTAAGATGCTGTATGGTATGCAATCAAATAGCTGAAATATGCCTTGTCATTGTGAACAAAGAAGGATATGAACCATTGAGAAAACTCTGATAAAATAGTTGCTTCTCTTTTTTTTCCCAAAGAAAAACTAGTAATGACTACTACATTTTTGTGGCTTCCTTTTCACTTTTGATAGATGCAGAGATACCAATCACACAATCATCTTTAAAATCTATTTATCACTTAGAATATCTACAAATCCTGAGCGTGATTTAATAGTATCCTATATGGTCATTCCTACTGCAGTAAACCAGAATGTATTGTTTTCTGACTAAATCCAAATTTCAAAGCCAAACATAAACATATTATATCAGATATCTGGCACAAAATGACTTTTGATGTGGTCATGAACTGGAGGACCGAAGGAAATATTTTAACAAACTGCATTGATTCTAAATTGGGATTTTAAAGGCATCGTGTGGTACCCAAGAGGAGACCCGTCTGACTAGCTTGCAAATTACACAGAGCATCCATCCATCATTCTCTAGCCTGACTCTGAACTGCAAATGATACAGGATGCCCACACGGACCCTGATGTTACTGCATCCCAGCTTTCTACACACATGTATTCCTGCCCTTATGAGCACTTAAATAACGAGCAGGAAGCAGGTTTGTTTAGACCCAGAAAAAGTGGCTGTGAATGACAACTGTTTATTCATCGCTTCTGGTTCCAGAACTCCTCTTAAGATATTTCAAGTCCCCGAAGGGCTGTTCCCAAACCCCACATCCCTGATTCATCGTCTCTTTCTTCGAGAGTTCCTCTCAGCCCATAACCCACATCACAAATTCATTCCCTTGCTTATCATGCCTAAAAGATTCTTGTCTCTTCTTTTCCTCCCCCCCCCCCCAACCATCCCTCTCCGGCCCCAGATTTATTGTCCTCAACTCCTAACATTCAACAGGAATAGTTTCCAACCAGTCAGAGCAGCCAGTCCCAGCCTGGCTGTTTTGCAGGTTACCTCGCGATCACCCACCCCAGAAGCGCTGCCCCGGAGGTGAAGTACCCCTCCGTCCTCTTCAGCCCGCCGCCACTCCGCCTTACAAGCCACCCCGTCCTCACGCCTCCGTCCGACCTTCTCCTCCATCGGCTCCTGGTCCATGCCTGCACAACCCCCGTGGGCCCCAACTGGCCAACGATTCCCAGGTTGCACCCCCCCCTCTCCCTGGGGAGGGAGACAAAGCGGCGCGGGTGCACCTGCACCCGGGGGCTGCCTCCTCTTTCTCCTCAACCGAGCCCGCCCGCCTGAGAGAAAGGGCGAAACGCACCGGAGTTCTCCTCCTCCCTGCCTCCCCCTCCCCGCAGCCCGAGCCCCAACTTTCCGACCTCCTCAAGGACGCAGCAACAAGCCGCCTTGGCGGAGAAGGCAGGAAGGGGGACGGGGCGGCCGGAATGGGGCTTCCCTGGCTTTTGCTTTCTCTCCCCAAGGCAAGAAACTCCGGCAGCTGGATGCGCGGACTGAAACAGGCCAAAAATACCCAGCCAGCCCCCCGGACTGGGCTGCGGCGCCGAGCGTGCCCCTCAGCCCGCGCTGCTGTGCCTTTGCAGCCGGCCACCTGCCTTCCCCTCCTCCTTCTGCCCGACTTACCGTAAGGAGAGACCGAGGCGTCCCCCTTCCTAGCCATGGTCCTCCGCCGCTTTCTGGGCTGACGGAGCTCGGAGCCAGGGCGCCTCTCCGCCCGCTGCTCAGCGTGCTCTTTGTTGCTGTAATGGCATGAGAGGCGGGCAGAGGGAAAGAGCGGCGGTGAGGCGAGCAGCCGAGCCCCAGGTGCTTGTTTTTCTCCTCCTGCTCCTCTTCCTCCTGCTCTTGCTGCACTTCGCGGGCGCCCCCGAGCGCCCCCCGCTCCTCCTTTTTGCCTCCCGCTCTCCCAGAGCGCCCTTCAAGGCAGAGGAGCCGCTGCCAGAGCTCAGCGAGGCGAGCTCTCTTAGAGGTGGCGGCGGCGGCGGCGACGCTGGCAGCCGCAGTTGCTAAAAAGCTTCCTCGGCCTTCGCAGGCATGCGGAGGAGGAGGCGGGGGCACGTGGGACTGCCCCCCAGCTTCAGCCCGCCCCTCGATCCATATGCAGCGAGCCAGAGCGCACCGACAGCCCCGGGAGAGCGCCACAAACTCCGCCCCCTCGCGCGGGGAGCGGCTGGCGAACTTCAGGCGGGAGCAGAGACCAGAACTTCACTCCCCTTGCGGTAGTTTCGGGCTGGGTTGCAAGGCTATAGGTGGGTGGGAATCAAAGGCATCTTGATCCCGCCGGCCTTCTCCCTCGTTCCCTCGTTGCCTTTGCATTGTTTTCCGAAATTTGGGAGGGAGGGAGGGAAAGGGAGGGAGTTTCGATTGGAGGCGTCGTGGTACGAATTTTCCTGCACCTTAGAGCGGAGGGACTCTACTTGCTAGACATTTTTCAGAGGTTTATATTCAACTTCGGAGGTGACTTGGAATGACATCGGCAATTTTGGATAGGTCAAGTGATCGGCCGCTTCTGGGCAATGCAAAACAGGCGGTCTTTATCTGCGCCTTTGCCGCTTGGAAAATTGCCCGAGGAAAGTTTTCATTTTTTTTTTTTCTCTCCCCCTTGATTCCGGAGCTGTCCTTTGCCTCTCGTGCTGATATCCTGGTTTTTCTCTTTACACGAAAATCGCGTAGTTGAATTCTCCCATTTGCTTCAAGAAGCCTTGTCAAAATTCTATAAATGGGGTTCGAGTCATTGGTGGCACTTACCTATTATTTAAAAAGTACTTCAGATTAAGCAAGGGAGGAGAGAATGATAGCAGTCTGATCTACATTTCAAGTGATGTGTATCAGATAAAATAAAACCATCAAGAATTCTGGCAATTTAAAGGCTAACAACTTTTATTATGAATGTGAGCTTTCTCTAGTCTGTGGAAAGTCTATGTCACAATAAATTGTCAGTTGACAAGAGCCACAAAGCTCAGAGTTGGTTTGGAATTGAGCAAAACCAAAATAGAATTAAATGTTTAATGTTACTTCTGAAAGACTAAAACCCTTCAGGTATATTTAATGGATACAAACAGTAATGTGCAAAATATAAGAATACAGATATTCTCTTCCTGGTTCTATATTTCCACTGGGCTACATATTTTTCTCTCTCTGTGTTAGTGAGTCTACTTATTTATTTGAACAACTTGTAGGTTATGTTTTGAACCTTGCAATTAACAATAGAGTACAATTAGTCTGTAACCTTTATTTCCAGATCTGTGAAGTACCCATCTAAATAAGAATTGGGTTAGAAAATATATGAGCTCTTTTGTGTGATATAAGAAGGTTTGATGAGACATTGATACCCACTTTCAACTGCATTAAAATCTTGGTTTTCTTCATTGATTTTTATGGTTGCACTAACTTCTGCCCAATAACAATTTAAAAATCATTTTTTCTGTGAACCAGGAAATCACATGGTTTCCCCTTATGTCTCTTTCCCTTTTTACAACCATTCTATTCCATTCCATCTCTTCTTCCACAATCTGTTTATTACTCTTGCTTATTGAATTCTCTGTCTATACGTGTAATTGATTTTACTCGCACAAAATTCAAGATTCCCTAAATTAGCTGGTAGTTCCTCTTGCACATGGATACAGCCATTTAGTCCACATCCCAATTTTTAGCATTAAAAACAACACCTGGTGGAATGTTTGCAAATGCAACAGCAAAGCATGGTGAGGCAACAATTGCTCCAGCCACATTTGGTGATTCCTTTTATGTGAATTACAGCAAACTGCAAATAGTATTTTTATTTTCATTACTGAATGGTTGACTCAAATTGCCAACTTCAGGGAAGCAAATGTCACTGGATCTGTATGTATCAAATGCTCAATTCATCAAACCAGTATAAATTCATAAAAGTTGGGCTATGTTATATTTACTATATTGGATATATAATAATTTCTTAATGAATTTTGTGTAAGGAAATGGTGCTTGCTTGCTTTGGACTTCTCTGCATTGAAATTCCTTTTTATTCTTCATGGTGGAAACTCTGCATCCTTTATTCTCCTGAATATGTAGTGTATGTGTAACAGATAAGTTTTGTATCAATCTAAATGAAAGAATCTCTCCTATATGCAAAGATATGTTCTTTATGAAATTACCTGAATATTGCTATTTACTTAATTATGGCCAGTGTTATTCTTCTAAATATATTAAGGTATGTATAACAGTTATCATGTCTATTAAATAGAAGAAATATCTGATGGTGTATATTGTAAAATATATAGCATATTATCTTCATTTGTGAGTGCAATTTCCTGCTATAGCACCCTCTACTGTTGCTCTACAATTTTATAAAGAAGCTATCTTTAACTAGGTTTCATCCATTAGATGAATTGTGGAACTATTTTTCATTTAACTTTGAAAATAGTTAGCTTCCCTTTAGCTTGGAGATTAATTTACACATGCGTTTTTCCATGCTGAATTTTATTTTTTAAAATACACAATTCAGATATCCAGCTGTTAAGAAATCTGTATTGATATGTTCAAAACAAAATAACCAAATAAATTATTATCACCATGACCTAAGGAAACTATTCAAAAGTTATTAATTTTAGAAGCACAGGAGAAAATTCTTCACATTAAATCAAGCATAACAGTGAAACAACACATTTTTTTTTATTGAAAGTTTTATAAATTTTACAAAAAGACAAAAACAATACAAAACAAAAAACAACATATACAAAAAAAAATAAATAAAAAACTAAACATATAAAAAAAAACCCCATCCCCCACCCCTCACAAACACCCTCCCTTCCCCCCCCCCCGAGCTTCCCAGAGCAGAATATAGGCTTAGTTAAAAATTAACAAATAAAAATAAAAATTAAATTAAAAAATTTATATTTATATATATATAAAAAAGTATCTATATATAACATTCTCTATATATAAAAATAAAACTTATGAAAAAACTATGTGATAAAAACAACACATTTTTAATATTACATGAGCACTGTGTTTGACCACATTTGTTACCATCAGTAGCATACTGTGTTCAAAATATAGGGCAGTTCGGGTGAGTTATTTATTGGTATATATATACTTGGCAGCTGGACACAACCAGTTACTTTTTAACTGAAGAAAATCTGCAATTGAGCAACAGCATAAGGGTATAAACAACATCTTAAATGCCAAACATTTACTGATCCTGAGATCACTTTGGGAGAGAAAACAGAAAGCAAGATTTCCCACCTTCCTTCCCAAAAAGAATAATAATGCTATAACACAATATAAAAATTAATTCATTAATCTTCCAGCACTCACTTTCAAAGACCAGATTGTGAAGCCGTTTTATGGAGTACATATCGATGACAATAGCCTGGCCTTGAATGCCATACTAAAATATATTTCTTATATATCACATGTGAAAGCTTTAATCTTGCAGACTCTCCAATTCTTTCCAGCACAACTGCAAGGAGATTGGAAGCTTTTACTTCAATTTTCAGCTCATTATATCTGAACCCTGAGAGACCACGGTATGAACTATGATATAATGGAAGAGGTCAGTGTTAATAATTGTGCCTGGTTTCAATAAACCCATTCCCATTTTGGATATAATGAGAAACAATAAATTAGCAGGAAATAAGTTTTGGGACTTCTCATTACTATGCAGCAGGGAAAGAAGGAGGAATTATCAATCATAAAATGAAATTGTAGTTTAATGTCATGTGGGAAGGGAGCAAATTTGGATTCTCCATTTTTAAGAAGGGTGAATAGAATAATGTCTATATAACTCTGAATAGTTGTATTCAAATTCTGAATACAAGTAAATTGTTTAGTGTATGTGTACAATAGCCTACTGTTGTTTTACTAGTGTAGTGGGAGTCATTGCTTTTATAATGGTTTCTAACTAAAATTAGAATTCTGTTTCTCCTTGTTTTTCAAAATAGATACTTTAACCAACTCACCTTCAAATATTCATGGAATGAAACTTTTTAAAAATTGTATTGGGATGAGGCGGGAGGGGAGAGTTGGATTTTTTTTTTTCATCTTCCAGTCCCCTACTGAATCCAGCCCATTTTTAAAAGTAATTACTTCTTTCTTTGGCTTCTCCCACCATACCAAATTCTCCATTTTCAGAGTTACAGTATGATCATCTTGACAGACAGATGATAACCCCTCGTGGCATAACTACTGCAAGGTGTTCTACATGAAGCTGCCTTTTAAGACCACCTGGAAGGTTCAACTGTTCTAGAATGCAGCAGCATCGGCAATCATAGGCACACCCCAATGTACCCATGTGACATTCCTCTTTCACAGGTTCCATTGACTGCCACTTGATTTTGGGTGCAATTCAAGGGGATGGCTGTATTCTATGAAACCTAACACAGTACAGTTATTTGAAGCACCCGCTATCTCCTCTGGTGTCTGTGCAGCCAATATGAGCAAAGATTGGCACGCTCTGGATCACTTTGATTAAACAGCATCATCTATCAGGATTCAGGAAGCCTTTATCGTGGTGCCTTTCCTCTAAAAGAAAATTTCCTGTAAAGATCTAAGTGTCTCCCACCGTAACTGTGTCCTGGAAGCCTTAAAAGACTTGGCTGCTCGGCTAAGCCCTAGGATAAAGTAGTTGGAAATCCTTGCTGGATATGTTTCATGTGATTGGCAGATTCATCATATTGTTTTTTTCTATTGTATTTTTATTCTGTATGTTTATGCTGTAAGCAATCCAGAATCAAGCAGCACCTACAGTAAATCAAATAAAACAAAGGCACACAAGTTCTTCTATATCACGGGTGTCAAACTTGATAGTGTCATGTGATGTATCGTGATGTATTACAACATTTTTTGCCTTTGCAGAGCCGGTATGGGTGTGGTGTGTGCATCTGCCCCGTGGGCTGCCAGTTTGACACCCTTGTTCTATATAATTTCCTTCTAATTAATCTACAGGGAGGGAAGGGGGGAAGGAGGATGGACAGTCATAGGAACCAATTACTTTAGTTTAAAAAACCCTCAAATGTACTAGAAATATGGTTGGTTATGTAACATGGACCATTATTATGTTAAAATTAATAGCTGTGCTTTCTAACACATATTAGCCATGCTGGTTGCAGTAGCTTTATAATAAACCATAGTTTATAACAAACTTTGTTTTGCACATTAATGCATTGATATTTGGCTACATCTGTTCAGAACTAAAGGCTCATCTATGCACTTACCGTGTTCCAGCATCAAAATACTGTCGTTTGCTTTCCTTTTATTGAGGTTCTGACCATGGGGTTTTCATTCTGGCCCCAGTCCCTTCTCTATACATTTGTCTTCTACATTTGTGAAGAAAGAGCCTGGAAGAGGCTAGTCACCTCCAGGGCTCCAATTGGTTTACTGCACAACTGCCCCTCCAATATAACCAAGACATTATATACCTCCGTGACCAACTCTCTTTCAACTCCCAGGGTCCAGAGCAGGGGTGTCCAACCTTTAAGACTTGTGGGCTTCAATTTCCTTCAACTTCAACTCTCTTCAACATGGCTGGGTGGGGAATAATGGGAGTTAAAGTTCACAAGTCCTAATGTTGCTAAGGCTGTTTCCCCACCCCAGCTTTCCTGGCAACCAATGGTTAGGTTTCTAATATAAAAGAAATGTTCCACAAGGCTGCATTCAAGCTATTGACCCCTGCACCACTCACTGTTACTTCCTATGATGATAGTCTTCCCATTTGGAATCTTCTTTGTTATCCCAACTTCATCCCTTGCTTACCTGCCTACTTTTCTCTCCCATTCAAGCAATGCAGATGCTTCACCTTCCCTTATCCTCTCCCCTTTGCTGCGCCTTCTCTTAATCTTCAGTTTATTAGAGAACAACCCAAAGTTCCATCCCTAATGCTGACAGTAGCAGCTGCTGGTAACTACTGCCCTTAGAAGGATCTGGGCATTGGATAAATATAAATCTGTATAATTCACATATAGATTAGTAAGCTTTTATGTCAAAAATACATAATAAATAAATTATAAACATAGTACTGATAACTGCAATAGCTAACATAGTAACAATGTACTAGGAAAAATAATGGAAGTATCTAAACAAATGGTGTATATATATATATATATATATATATATATATATATATAGAGAGAGAGAGAGAGAGAGAGAGAGAGAGAGAGAGAGAGAGAGAGAGAGAGAGAGGAGAGAGAGAGAGTTGATAATTTATACAAACTTATTAGAATAAAAAGGGGATTCTGCTGCATTAATAAAGCCAGTTATAGAATTTATATTCCACCCTGCAACAAGAAAAATCCTCAAAGAATAAATTATACACCAAAGAACTGAAGGCTTATGAGCAAAGTAGCCCATACTCAGTTATAAGCAAAGTGTAACTAACACTGTATCTCTTGTGAGCTCTTAGGCAAAATGTGAGATTGGGAAGCCAGAGACTATTTTTCTTTCTAATTATATAAAATAATATGAGAAAACATTAAAATACCGAATTATGTAAGTAGCATTATTCCTTAAAATAGCACATTCTTTTGCTGCCTCTGCATTTCCCATGCTTGTAATTCAGAACAAGTTCTACAAATACCAATTCCATTCCCACCTACATCATAACAACAGACTCAGCGTAGTTACATATTTTATCAGTATGTAGTTTTCTATTCAGATTTTTATTTTCTAATCATGGCATAGTTAAAGTTGCTATGAACAAGTTCTTTCCCATAAAAAAATGGAAAAGATAATATGACTAAGCTCAGCAATGGTGAGCAACTGTTCAACCAGAGTTTACTAAATTAATAGTGGTTGAGTTTGCACATCACACAGCCAATACAAAACACAATGCGTTAAATTTAGTATAAGGTGTGGACCCAGCCTATGAACTAGTTTAAACGGAAAATAGATAGAAGCAAAAATTATCCCTGATGTGCAGGTCCTCTGCCTAAATCTCTTGACATACTGTATAAGGCCTTTCCTCGTTCGCATGCTACACATTCTTTGACGACACCTTGATTCAGCTACATCTTCCTGACAATGGTTTTTGCTTCATCGTCAGTCTCTGCAGAGCATTATTATCTTAACTTGTGGCTAGTTGTGCTTGTGTTTAAGGAAGGTTTTCCACTTATGCTGGAAGGATCTCGTAGTGGTTTCAAAGTGTGTAAAATCTGGTACAGGTAGTCCTCAGCTTACAACAGCTCATTTAGTGACCATTCAAAGTTACAACGGCACTGAAAAAGTGACTTATGACCGTTTTTTACACTTATGACTGTTGCAGCATCCCCAGGTTACGTGATCAAAATTCAGCGTTTGGCAACTGTATTTATGACAGTTGCAATGTGGCAAGGTCTTGTCCCCTTTCTGGCAAGCAAAGTCAATGGCGAAACCAGATTCACTTAACAAACCCATATAACTAAAGTACTTCAGTGATTCACTTAACAACTGTGGCGAGGAAGTGGGACAAAATGCACTTAATAAATGTCTCATTCAGCAATGGAAATTTTGGGCTCCATTCTGGTCGTAAGTCAAGGACTACCTGTATTCCTCACAAATCAGTGTGGGCACATTTCCCCTTTAAGATGCTGGATGTTGTCTTCTGTTGGCATGTTTTCCCCTTTTGGGGATTCTCTTGCTTTATCATGCCTGCTGAAAAGCTGGCCACCAAACTTGTTTTAACTGCAAGTTTAGCTTATTACTCAAAACAAACAGACACATGGGAAAGCAGAAAATTTTTTTAGGATCTTGCAACACCTTTCTGCTTAATCACACAATCCTCTCAATAAAAGAGGATGTTTGATGGGCTTGTTTTGCATGTGGATATCTTTATCATCAGTGAGCATGGTCCTACACTCAAAACAAATTGGGAAACAGATGAAGATTAAGGATTCTGGAACAGAAAGCACCTGTTGAGGAGCAACAACTTGCAACTATAAAAAAAAAAGCCCAGGTTTGCTAGAAACTGAGATTGCCAGTATATAAATTTAATAAATTAATAAATCAAAGGAGCAGTAAAATTTGAAACAAAGATACTGGTAGAAGGAAAAGGAAGCAGAAATAGCCACAACAGATTGGCTACTAACTCAAATTCAGGGTCAGTGAGAGGACAAGGATGTGGGAAGGTTAGAGTGGAGGGTTTTCTGGATTCCTGTGCAATCCTGAGATAATGAAAAGTAGACACATAATTTTTCAATATTCAAGTGAATTTAACTTGACTCGAAAGAAAGGCTTGTTGGGAAGTTATGTCAATGATCTTTATAATTATTTCCACAGAAATATAATTTAAATATTTCATGAAAGAGTTAAATAATAAATAATCAAATTTGTGTTTCAGGTTTTATGTTATTCATAACCAAAATGAAAATACAAGAATAGACATTATATGTTCTGCTAGTCATATGCATTTCTATACAGAATCTAAAGTAAAGGAAAAGAAAAATAATGTCAAGTTAATAACTAGAAATCTTAAAAAGATAAATTATTTTTATTACCAGTTTAAGAAAAAAATAGATACAGGCAGGAGGCATGCTTTAAACAAACATTTATTTAAAATCTAACTGGTTCAATATTCAATTCGATATTTTGAATAAAGTAAACTATATTACATTTTGAAACTGTGGATTCTATACATACATACTTGGAAATAAGAGTTATTGAATTCAATGGATAATTACTCTGTACAGCATTAATATATACATGACATTGAGATCCTGTAAACTTTTTACACTTAATTTATATTTTAATAATTACTATTGGGTATGTCTAGTTTAATGAAGAGAAGGGGTATGATAGCAGTGTTCCAATATCTCAGAGGCTGCCACAAAGAAGAGGAAGTCAAGCTATTCTCCAAAGTGCTTGAAGGCAGGACAAGAAGCAACAGATGGAAACTAATCAAGATAGAAGCAACCTAGAACTAAGGAGAAACTTCCTGACAGTTAGAACAATTAACCAGTGGAACAACCTGCCTCCAGAAGCAGTGAATGCTCCAACACTGGAAGTTTTTAAGAAGACACTGGACAACTATTTGTCTGAAATGGTATAGGGCCGTGGTGGCAAACCTATGGCACACATGCCACAGATGACATGCAGAGCCCTGCTTTAGGCCTCTGCCGTGTGCAAAAAAAAAAAAGGTTCAATGAAATCAATTTCAACTTCTTGTGGGAAAAAAAAGATCTCGCATGAACTTTTTAGTCCACCCAGTCTGCTGTTACCATTGCAGCCACGCCCACCCAATGGGCCATCCCACCCAATGAGTCACACCCACCCAGCACCGACAATACATAAGTGGGTTTTGGGTTGCAGTTTGGGCACTCGGTCTCTAAAAGGTTTGCTATCACTGGTATAGGGTTCCTGTCTGAGCAGGGGGTTGGACTAGATGACCTCCAATGTCTCTTCCAACATTATTATTATTGTTGTTGTTATTGCTATGAATGTTGCCAAAGTAACTTAATGGAAGGAAAAGGGGATGACATTACATTTTTCTTATTCAAGAAGCATTACTTTAAAAAAACACGTTAACATGTTGTGTACTAAGAGAAAATTGCAAATGCCTATAAATTGGATGTGTTACTGAAATATCTTAATTCTTTTTTCTCTTCTTTTTTATATTTTCCTGGAGCATTAATTTGTCAAATTTCTTCTTCCCATTCCCCCCCCCCCCTTGGCTAATTTATATCTAATGTTACCTTCAATAACCGGTAATTTCTTTGGTTCCCTTCATCTTTCATTCCATTCCTTTGTTTCTCTGACACAAATAAGAATCAATCCACAATAAATATCCCTATTAGTTCACAGTCCTTTCCATGGCCTTAGATCAGGGGTGTCAAACTGCCAGCCCATGCTGGATGCATCGCGAAGAAGTCACGCCCACCCAGCAAGTTTGACACCCCTGCCTTAGATTTCAATAAAGCCAAGACAGATAAAGAAGCAATAATTTTTCAAATAAAGAAGCTTTCAGGGCACAGATTTACTGCTTTTCTCCATTATATAACTTTGAATAAGGGTCTGTTTGATCTGCCTCAAGAAATTAGTTGTTGTACTTGTTTAGCTGCTCCCAACTCTTAGGATTGTCTGTCAGTAATTGGTTGAGTTCTTGTAAGGTCATTCTGGAGTCGCTGATGATAGAATTTAACTGCTTTCTCTTCAGTAGGCCTCCTTTTTATTGCCTTTTTTCTAAGCATCAGGGTCTTCTATGAAGGATCCTGCATTTTTTAATATCTTGAAAATATTTAAAAGCTTCATTATTTGTGCTTTCAGTAAGCAGTCAGATTTTATTTCAGGTACTGTTGAATTACTTCTTGCAGTCCAAGGTATTCTCAAACACTTTTTGCAACACCACAGTGCAAAAATATGTTTTTTTTTTCATTCTGCTTTTGATGGTCCAGTTCACAGCTGTATATTACTATTTGATAAATCAGTTTCAAAAAATATACCTTGTTGTCAATCTGATGTCTTTGCACTTCAACATTTTGTCCAGACTTGTCACTGTTTTTTCCTGAAGTACCAGATATTTCTTTATTTTATGTCTACATTTTCCATCTGTGAATTGTTGAGCTTAGGAAGAATATATCTAGTCTAATTCAACTTATTCACTCCCTAGTTGTATTGGGTTGGTATTAGCTGTTGATATCATCTTAGATTTTTGTTTTAGTATTGAGTACTGTAGCAGAATAGATTTACATTCTTTAATTTACTTGCAACAAGAAGTTCTTAGGTCTTCCTCATTTCCAACCATTAAAAAAGTATCATCAGCATATCTGAAGTTTTTGATGTTTTTCTTGGAAAATTGAATACCAATTTCTGTCTTTTCTGATCTAATCTAACATTTCTTGAGATATGTTCTCCATTTAAGTTAAATAAATAAATAACAGTTTACAATTTGGCTCACCCAATTATGAAGCATTTAGTTTTCCCATATTCTACTCTAACTTTTGCTTCCTAGTCATCCCAAAAATTCTTGAATAGGCAGACAAGAGTGTAACCATGTTTTAAAACCTATTCATAATTAATTGTAGTGTACAAAATCAAAAGCAGTTTTATAATCAATGTAACAAAAAATAGCCATCGTTTTGGAATTTGCTTTTTCCATTATCCACTGGATAGTAGCAATGTGATATTAGATGACCTTGCCACTTTGGAATTCAGCTTATACATCTGGTGGTTTTCATTTCAAGTGCTGCTGAAGTCTGGACTAACAAAATTTTAAGCATCACCTTACCAGCATTTGAAGCAGTATTTTGAATATATTTTTTTAGCACTGTTCAGAATTTATATGATCTTTTCAGTCCCCTGAGCACTGCTATATTCATAAAGGATCTGGAAGCCCAAATCCTGAAAATAATGTATGTCCTTAGCATTGCTAAAGTTAACAAAATTAGAGCTACCATATCTGGCTTATGTAAATCTTGACTAGATGATAAGGCTTTCCTTCCATATAGTGGTGGTTAAGATTTCTCCAGTTCAAATATGGTAGCCCGCGACAAAATAATAGACTTTTGTTACCACATGTATTGTTACATCATGGCTTACAATGGTGGTTGGCCATTCCAACATATGTGAGAAGGCCATAGAGTTGGGAGCACAATGCCATACAGGACTTTGACTTTGCTTGTAGAAGCAGGAAGGGAAAGTTGCATATGACAATCATAATCATAGTTCCCTGCATCAAATTGTGTCACATGACTACATGGGTACTGTGGCTGGAGCTTTGAGGATTGGTCATATGTCCATTTTTTTCAGTGTTGCTGTAACTCTTAATGAGTAGATGTAATCTGATGGCTACCTGTAGTAACTCTTATGGTTCAGTATGTCAAGACAGAAACAGAGTGCCTCTGTTCCCAGAAATCCACAATACAGAGAACAATAAATCATGAAGCATTTGTAAACATGTTGTACAAACACTGGTATTATGACAAAATCTATGTGGATTATATCTACTTTGAGATGTACCATTTTAGCATCTGCACGGAGCTGCCCATAATTGATAAATACTTGTTATATTTGTTACATTTGAAGGATCTCCTTGCCCCAGCTACATTCACCCATCCCATCAGATCCTGCAGGAGAGGTATATGTCAGATCGCATCAGCAAAGGAGCTTCATGCCCAAGTTGAGAGTTTTTTCTGCCATGGCCTTGCTCCTTAGGACACACTCACACACATCCCTGAGGTTGGCCCAAATCTTTTTGGTCTTTGGGAAGGCCTTCAAAACATGGCTTTGCTATTAGGCCTGGGCATCCCATGGAAGCATGAAGCCCTTTAAATGGCTGGTATAAGGTTGCACTCTTTTCTTTTGTAATTGTGGTTTACTGTTTAATGGAAAAGTACACTGATCATTTTATGCTTTTTAGTCGCGTATGCCATGAAAGAGTCACATGCAAGTGCCATGGGCAGCTATTTAAATTAAATAAATAAAATAGTAAGTGTCTGTCTTCCACTTTTAGGTACAAGATTCCAACATGGTTTATTGAGTAAGAACCAACTAACTAGGTTCAATTCTTTGCGGCCTAAGACCCAATTTATTGACTAGGTTCCCAAAATAAATCCCAACCCAAACTACATGTTTACTGTACCTTAGCCCGGTGGCAGAAGGAAGCCTTTGGGCTGCTTCAGCAAAACTGCAGCGATGGGAATCCATTTAAAACAAATGATCGCGGATTGGCATAAAATGTAGTCAGTCCAGATGAAAGAACTTCACACTCCTAATGCATCAAATCCTTCCTTCCTTCCTTCCGATCGCCGTTCGAATGCATCCCGGTGTTGCCGTGAAACTAAAAACCAGACTAAGCCGGGTTCCTAGATTAAAGCTTCGTTGTGCTTTAATCATTCGGTCTGCCCAGCGCACCGAACCACAAACTAACCCCTCACGCTTGGATCCGCACATCCCGCGGCGCTAAAAACGAGGCCGACTCCCTCGCAGTTCATCAACACGGCAAGCAATTCAATAGCATTGCCCCGCCCGTCCCACCAAACCTTCCTACTCCTTCGCTTCAGCGTCCGAGGTGTCGGAAATGCCAACTTCACCCGCCCCTCTCCCGCCCCCCGCTGGAGGCGGGCCTAGGCTTTGGCGTTTCATCCGTGCGAATTTCAGTCACGGCCCGTCGCGTTCGCTGAGGAAGAGAACAGGAAAGGCTTTGTCATGGCTGCATTGAGAGCCTCTCGGGTGAGAAGAAAGCTGGCCAAGGCGGGAACGGGGGCCGCGGAAGCCATCGGGGGGGGGGACTTCGGCCGGCCTTTCTGGCACGCCCCTGCTTTGCTGGAGGGTCCCTCCGTTTGCAGGATTTGGGGACAGCCGCCTGGATTAATGCTGGGGTGGAACAGGCTTGGGTTGTCTCTGCCAGAGGAAAAGTTCAGGGATTGAAGAGGAGAGTCGCCAAAGGAAGGATCTCGACTGCAGCCCGCAAAATGACAATCATAAATTGCGGGAGGAAAGATCGGGGATTTTTTTGTTTTGCTTTGTTTTTTGCAAAATTACGGGATATCGTAGCCAAGTATGTCAAAGGTCGCCTATCTGTCGCCCCCGTTCTGTCCACTCGGGTAAAGCGTTTCCAAAAACACTACCGTTTTTTTTGCTTCTTCCCCCCCCCCGCCCCCTTTTAAACCTGAACATCTGGGATGGACTTCTCGAAGCAGATAGGCCAAGTCTGTTGGCACAGCAAAAATAATAGTACTGTTTGCCATCGCCAACTTGCCATCGCTTCTGTTACTTCCTAGTATATGTGAAATTAATCCACGTCAGAAACTATCTTAGTTTCTGAATTGTAAAGATGTCTTACTTTATCTAAGCAAAGCTTTTATCTAAAACTATATTTCTACATCGAAAAATTACCTGGTTCCGGGTAAAATTAAATCTTAAAATTTTAAGATTTTATTTTAAAAGCTAATTTTTGTCAATTGGCATTGGTTGTATGTTGTACAAAGTTTTTCTTGTGCATAGCAGCAATGCTGCATTATTTTATTTCATTCAGGTGGTCACAGGATCTGGGAGTCTTTTTGTGGAGTTTAAAAATGTAAATGACAAGTATATATTATAACAAGGGAGACCATTATTCAAAATAAATAACTGCAAACTTATATAAAAATATTTCTGTAGAAATTATTTGAAATACTTATATATAATTTGAAAGTTCTTAGGATTTGTGGTAGTCAGTACTGATGCTAATATAATATGAAGAATCATCAATCATTTTGCATGATGTTATACTTGTTAAATGTAGGTTAAAATGTTCTGAACAATATATCAATGTTGTGAAAGTAGAACATAATTTAATCAGTGTAATACTGTCAGCATTCCTGTTGCATGATTTAATTTTCTCTTAGGAAATCTCAGGAAATTAGATTTTTGTCTTCATGTGCAAAGCTTTAGAAAACAAAACAATTATTGTGAATTTGAAAAAATAATTATTTACACAAGGAAAACTGGAACATGGAATAAGGCACAGTAGAATGGTCCAAACAAACTACTGTGCTAGTAATGGAATCTTGTGATACTTATGAGCAATCTGGGTTTTTTTTTTAAAAAAAAAAATGTGCCACAAGAAATCATTCCAAATCTTGCAAAACAAGATATCAAAGGTCTGCTATATAAATGTCAAATTACAAATATAAATGGTTTTTGTAACCAGTAACAAGCATTAATAAAAAGTTTTTGCTTTCTAGTTAATATTGTACTTTAGAGGTTCCAGCAACTCATTTGCAACTCTCGTAAGACCTATTTTTGTTCTTTTTCACAGTCTCTTTGCTTCTATGTATTCATTCACCGGGCTTTCAAATCACATATTTTGAGGGGTGCCTTACTTCGAGTTTGGAAAAAGTATTATTATAAGTTAAACTATAAAATACCTATCTGGGGGATTCCTAGACATGCAATTGAGGGGATTTCTAAGGGGATGAACTTTGATAAAATTTTGTATAAACAATTATTAACTTGGTCAGGTTCGGATTGGCATTTAAAATCTCTAGATGTATTAAGTCAAGAAAATATTCTACAGTCATGGTTTCAATATTTACAAATAGTGGACAGGTGGACTGTAGATAAAAAAAGAAGGAATAACACTAGAAGATGGAAATCTGGTTATTCAGATTAAAGATCAGAGTCAGGCCCATATAAAAAGAATTTACAATGCTTTAATAGAATTAGACTCTGAAACAGAATTGGTTAAAGACTGTATGATTAAATGGGCTCAGAATATCCAGGATCCGATCCCATTGGACTTATGGGAGACAATTTGGATTAGAAATGTTAGATTTACACAAGCTCAAAATTTGAGGGAAAATTTTTATAAAATGTTTTACAGATGGCATTTAGATCCTAAAAAATTATCTTGTATGTATCCAAATTTACAACCCAAATGTTGGAGATGTGGTAATATGGATGCGACATATTTTCATGTTTGGTGGAATTGTAAAAAGGTAAAGGCTTTTTGGATTATGATTTGGTGGAACATTCAAAAGATTTTTAAAAGGAAGATAAAGTTCACCCCTCAGTTATTCCTATTCTTTGTGGATTTAAATGACAAAGTAACTACTTTAATGTTGAATTTATTAACTGCATCAAGGTTATTAGTAGGCTCGTATTGGAAGAAGGATTTGTTGCCTACTTTAGAAGAATGGATATTTAAAGTTTCTAACTTTGCAGAAATGGCAAAAATTTCTGCTTATTTGAAGGATCATACACAAGAAAGATATATTATTGTATGGAGAAGATGGATAGATTATATTCAGAAAAAATATGGGACTATAAAGTTTCATTTATTTTATGAGTAAATTTTATAGTAACTGTTGTAGAGATTTGTTTATATGACTTAATTTAAGGGGAGTTAAAGGTTAAGTATGATTTTTTTTTCTTTTTTTCTTTTTTCTTTTATTATTGTTAACTTTCTTATTAATAACCCTGTACTCTGCTCTGGGAAGCGAGGGAGGGAGGGTTGAGGGTGGGTGGGTGAGTGGGTGGGTAATGATAATATAGTCATGGTAAACGCTTGGGCATTTCCCCTATGCTGCGTTCATGTGTGTGAGAGGGATGACAGGGGAGGTAGGAGTAGGGAGGAAGTAGGATGGTTAGAGGAGAAGGGAAGGGGAAGAGAGTAGGGGAGGAGAGAAAGAGGAGGGAAGTAGGGAAGGATTAGAGAGGGTGGACGCAGCCTGGGAGGAATGGGCAGGCGGTATCAATTGTTAGGAATTTAATTGTATTTTGTATGAATAAATGGAAAATAAAACATTTTTAATAAAAAAAAGATATAAATTGAAATTCACGCAGGCGTGCATATTTCTGCGTAGCTGTCTATCCATAGAAAAATAATTAAGCCGAGGCCAATTTTGGGAAAAGTTTTGTAGCCTTAGGGGATGAAATTGATTACTCCCAAGCTGTCAAAATGCAAAATGAGGCTTTGGTTGCTGATATGAAAAGATATCTGGTCTAAAATAATGCATTTGACTTTCTGTTGAGTTCTTTCATCCTTATTAACAATTCAGATACATAAAATTATTATTTCATATTTAATATGTAAGGGGTAATAATTATTTTCCCTCAAATTATCTTGCTCATCTCAAATGCTGGCATCGTTTTGCAGTCTTTATTGTGAGTTGATGTATTTAATGTATTTAATTTTTTGCTCATTAAATTATTATTTTTGCTTTTGGTTTATTTGTATACGAATAGCACTTACACTTACATATTGCTTCATAATGGTTTTCAGCAGCGGCTCCCAACCTTTTCTATACCCCGCACCCCTAGAACGTTTCTAATATATTCTCACACACCTTACAAAAGTTCGAACTAATGGCAAAGAATTATGCATATACACTATAATTTTTACACCTCCTGAAATACTGTCTCGCACCCCCAGAGGGTGCAAGCACCCCAGGTTGGGAACTGCTGCTTTAAAGCAATGGTCCCCGATCCCCGGTTTATGGCCCTGTACTGAGCTGCAGCCCATTCAGAACAGGACTACAGAAGTGTTGGCTGAGCATGTGCACATATGTGCATGCATAGCTGCATTTGTGAAAGTGGTGAACATGCACAATCATCCCCTGCCCTCACCCATTGCTGCCCCCAATGTTTCTGCTGGTCCACGGAGCCGGAAAGGTTGGGGAACGCTGCTTTATAGCATTCTCTAAGCCAGGGGTGTTAAACTCGCAATGTCATGTGACGTGTCGTGACGTATCACGACTCTTTTCCATTCCCGGCAATGGGGTGGGCGCGGTTTTGGCATGATATCCCTGCTGTAAGCAGTTTACAAGATAACATTTTTCCCCCAACAATCTGGATCCTCATTTTACCGACCTCAGAAGGATGGAAGGCAGAGTCAACTTTGAGCCAGTCATGACCGAACTCCTGGCAGTGGGCAGAGTCAGCCTGCAATACTGCATTCTAACCACTGTGCCACCACAGCTCCTATATCTTATATTTCATTTGTATTTTGTTGCCAAGCCTCCAAATCATGATCATGTGATTGCAGGGACACCGTGATAATCATATGTTCAAAGACTGGTCGTAAATTACTTCTTTCAGCATTGTCATAACTTTGAATAATTGCTAAATAAATGGTTGTAAGCTGAGAACTACCTGTATTGATGGCTGATTTGTTTATATGCCAAGTTTCCAAGAATTCCCTGGCATTTTTCGATTAAGGACTTTGCATCATGTCTTCTAACTGCCAATTGATATTCGGGAATGCTGTCTGTTAGCTTCTGCCTGTTTGGCCTACATAGTTGCTGTTACAGTCATTATACTGTAAGTTGTAGATAAAGAAACCACTGTATTTTAAAGAATGAATACTTCATCTTTTTAGACAGTAGTCGAAACAGTAATGTTTTGTACTCTTTTTAACATTAAAACAAAATACTTTTTGTTAGAGAATTTTAATTTCTCTGTTGGTGAAAAATAAATCAGAAGCTCTCACAGTTGACTGCATTTAGCTGATTCAAATAACCTTTTTATATTCATATCAAAATATTTACAATACCATACATTCTTCTTTACAGCAACATAACTCAATGAAGACTTCTTACAGAGAGATACAGAGACAAACCTGAGACTGAAAATCCAGCTCCTAACTCCTTTTGCACAGACTCAGTAGCACTTTCTTCACATTGGCTGACTGAGTTACCACATGACTCTTCCTGCTCATGAATATTCCAACACTTTTTATATTCTTTTTTTACTTTAGATTATATTTATATTATTTATAAATTTAATAATAATTGACACATGAGATTTTTAACCATCTCTGGGCAAAAATTGTACTTCGTAAAATGTGTTGGGCTCTACATCCTTGCAATGTTTATGCATTGGTAATAAAGTTTGGAACATTTATTGAAAGCTTCTGTGACACTTGGTTCTTTTTCTAAATTAAATTTCAGGCTGTGCGAAGCATCGTTGCTTGTGGCTTGAAAGCACAATCCAGTCATGCTGCTGCAACATCACCAAAAAGCAAATCTGCTGCTGGTTATAGCTTTGGTATGTAAAAATACTCCATAATGCTTCTCGTAAAGGCCCTGAAATGGCAGATTATAGTATTATAAATCTAAATGGATTTGTTATTATTTTCTATATGGTATGTCAGCATATTTGCTGTATAGTATATGAGCATATGCAGGCACATTCAGATACATCCACGTTTTTCTTACAAAACATACCTCAGTCTAGGAAGAAAAGATTAGAATATTTAGATAAGATAAACTGTGAAGACATAAAGATCAAATATATTCCTTTCTGGACATTTTATTCACCTGCACTCCCTAATGTGCATTATCTACTGCAGCTTGTTAAGCATTTGCAGTTTCTAGATAGAGTGGAACCATTTGTAATGAAAGATTATTATACATTTCCTGAATTACTTGAAATCTTTCAAAATTATACTTCGTTTTTGGACAATTGCTTTGTGAGGCAAAATCCTAACACATGTTTCTTTAAAGTTTAACATTGGAGCACACATATGTCCATATATGTGTAACTGTTTTGCACATGACTTTTGCATCGATATTATGGGTGAAGAAAAATAGTTAATGTATATTTGGTAGGTGGGATACAGATGCATATAGTTAAGGGTGACAGTGAAGAAAGAATTTAATGTAGATTAGTCTGCACATTTTCCCAATTCTAGTCCTGCCTTAGGCATGAAAGGTAGGATTTTTTTTAAAAAAATGAAATAAATATGTCATGTCCTACTAATTTTTTATGCATGTCTGGGGGCTTGAAATCTTGTTTTCTAGAACTTACTGATGAACAGAAAGAATTTCAAGCTACAGCTCGTAAATTTGCTAGAGAAGAAATCATACCTGTTGCTTCTCACTATGACAGAACTGGAGAGGTAGATACAATAAATTGTAGGGAAATACCATCTTTAAAATTTCAATGAATAAGACTCTCTAAACAGAGGCTCTATACATAATGCTTTTCGTATCTATTTCCTTTTTTAGTATCCTGTTCCTATCATTAAAAGGGCATGGGAGCTTGGTTTGATGAATTCACACATACCAGAAAGTTGTGGTAAGTAAAGTACTTTGTAAGCTATAAAACCAAATAAACAATGAAATATATTTACAAGCAATAACAACACTAAGGATATTACAATCCAATCTGATTTTAAATGTATGAGATAAGAACATATCTTGAAGAAATAAGTCATATATAGATGATATGTAAACATGTGCATCGACCTCACTGAATGATATTCTGTTGAGCTCAAACTGTTTCTCTCCTGCTAAAATTATTTTCACTAGATTTTCTATAGAAAAGTATTCATGATATTCCTTGATACTGTATTTAAGCTGGAAAGATTTGCAATTAAAAGATAGTATATAATAAATCTTTTTTTAAATCCAAATTAAATAGAATTAAATCTTATCTTGTGTGTGTGTGGACGACAATATTTAGAATACATCAAATTAGCATATCTGTGCAGTTAGTGTGCAGCCGCTCCTTGTTTAGTGACTAATGACCATTTACAAATACAGTTTGCAAATACATAAACAGTAATAAAAATCATTTTCTGCTCAAGGTACGCCTTTATGGTCAAATTTCATGGCCTGACAACAAAAGGCTTCAGTGTGAAACTGATTAATGTCTAGTGAGTTTCAGGCAGCAGTAAGAGTTCTAATCACCTAATTAAAGTCAGAGTTGAGCTTGTTAACACATTTTAGGGAAGTTCTGGGCTGCAAGGAAAAGCAGCTCAGGAAAAGATAGCTTGGTTAAGCAATTGCCCCACTCTGCAAGGGGGCAAAAAAAAAGGAGAAAAATATGGATCAAACACAGAGTAACTTTATCTGACTAACCAGCAGCAACCAGGAATTTTTCAGTTTTCTCTCTCACTTGTTCACTCAGCAGCCAATTTTGTTTAAGTTGCTGGAATGGCTTGCATCACTAAATAGGAGATGGTGCAATAGAACATAAAATAACTTTGTGACATAACATTTATTTGTGTGGAATTATTTGTTGTCCAAAACAATTTTTGTAGGTGGTCTTAACCTTGGTACTTTTGATACCTGCCTTATTACTGAAGAATTGGCTTATGGATGTACAGGAGTTCAGACAGCTATTGAGGCAAATTCCCTAGGTGTAAGTGTTTTGCTTTAATTTTACTCATTATTTACATTATTTTAACATTGGCATTAAGCTATGTCATCCCGTGTATTAAAAATAAACTTTTTTGTTACAGCAAATGCCAGTCATAATTGCAGGAAATGAGCAACAGCAAAAAAAATATTTAGGAAGAATGACTGAAGAGCCCTTAATGTGTGTAAGTATTTTTGCAATATTGATAAAGTGGTATTTTGATTTCCTTTGTGATAGAAATCTGCAAATCTATATTATTATATTATATTAATTTTATTATATATTAATTATATTATCATATAATAAACAGAGTAATACATTGAACTTTAACAACATAATTTAATAGTAATAAAAATATTTATGTGAGCATGAAGTCATATTTTGCTATAATAACTAGAGTACTCAACTTAAATGAACAGCTATTGTGTTTACACAAAGTAGAAACAGCAATTGTTCATTTAGGCTCAGTAATGTCTAAAATTAGATGAGTCAGTGATAAAATAGGCACTTTGTGATCTTGGTTCAGTATAGTTTTATATATATAAACTATATATATAGCAGTGGTGGCGAACCTATGGCACAGGTGCCAGAGGCGGCACTCAGAGCTCTCTCTGTGGGCACACGCACCATTGTCCCAGCAGAGTTCAGAGTTGCGAGCATGTGGCGTTTGGAAGTGACAGAGTAGGAAGTGAGCGAGCAAGTGGTGTTGGGCCCCCCTGGGGATGCCCCGGAGATGGTAAGGGACTGGCCCCGGCCACGCTCACAGTCTGCTTTGACCACTGCAGCCACACCCACCCAGTGAGCCACGCCCCCTGCCCCACCTGAGGGCACCACAATGGTGATGCAGCCCTGGCCCTTTGGGTTTTGGGTTACAGTTTGGGCACTCGGTCTCTAAAAGGTTCGCCATCACTGATATATAGTTTTAATGGTTTCAGGGTATAGAATTCATATGATGGTTCTGCATATTTGCAAGAATGTAAATATGAATTGGTATCTACCTTTTTGATGAATGAAGCAATATAAACACTTACCAATAAAACAGTGATGTTTCATTAAGATCTCTTCATATTCTCAGTAGTTTTCCACAATTTAAAAGACAACATACTTTTCATAATTTTAAGTTATTCATTTCTTTATCAATAAAAGTTATAATGAAAGTTAACTAACTTACTGATGATTTTGTATCATGTTCACGTGGAATGGCTGGATTTAATCTTCATTTCATTACATTTTAGTATGTGCAGTATTGTATAGTTTGTAATTTGATGTTTTGCATTTTCTTTTTTAAGGCATATTGTGTAACAGAACCTGGTGCAGGCTCTGATGTAGCAGGTATAAAGACAAGAGCTGAAAGGAAAGGAGATGAATATATTATTAATGGACAAAAAATGTGGATCACCAATGGTGGCAAGGCTAATTGGTATAGCAATTTATTTAAGCTATTTAAATAAGGCTCAGTTGTATAATATGTCCCTAACATTTTTTTCAGGAGATGTGTAGAAGATCCTACTATATCTTTATATTTTCAGTATAGTAGTGGTCATAATTTACATAATTTAAATGTGCAAAAACAATTTTTGAATAGTATTTTCATTCTTATATCACACTTGTATCATTCTATAACCAAGCAATAGAAGGTTTGAACCTGAATGGTGTGGTATTATTAGATACCAATTTTTATCCCATTCATTTGGCCAATAGTACTACCGCATTTCCCTCATTCTAGATCATAAGTCATTAATTTCTTTAGGAAAAAAGAAGAGAAGAATTCAGTAAATGAGTGTGGCCTAAAAAGAAGATAATTTTTTTTTTTATTGAAAAAGTTTTATTGACAATTAACAAAAAAAAATTTAAACCCACAAACCCACCCACATCCACCCCCTACCCCCCCCCCACTTCCCAGAGCCGAGTACAGGATCATTACAAACATATTAAACAAAATCTAATTAAATTTAACAAATTATACAATAACTAAATTCATACTTAACCCTTAACTCCTTTTAAAGCTTAATAGCATAATATTATAAACAAATCCATTTTAAAACAATTATTATAAAGAACCATAATAACAGTAAATAAACTAAATAATTTCCCTTATAAAATACTATTAATAATAATTATTATTTAAAATTTAATCATAAAATAAATGGAACTTTTTAGTTCCATATTTAATCTGAATATAATCTGTCCATCTAAAAAAGAAGATAAATTTGTAGAGGTGAAATCAATCTTTCATCCAGAATCAGTGTATAATATTGATATATCTAGTTTTATGTGTGAATTGAAATTTAGAATCAAAATCATGTTAAGGTCCAAATAAAAACAAAGAATTATGCTATAAGACTGTTCTATCTCCTCATGAGAAATGTGTGATTGGTATTTTATATGTTATAAGAAAGCTACGAGACAGTTAATAGTTTCTGATAGCCTGGGAGAAAATTTGAAAAGCTAATATTGTGGTTTGGGTATGTTCCAACTAGGTATTTTTTATTGGCACGTTCCGATCCTGATCCAAAAGCTCCTGCAAGTAAAGCTTTTACAGGATTTATTGTGGAAGCTGACAGCCCTGGAATACAGATTGGAAGAAAGGTAGAACATTTTAATGCTAATTTAAAGATTTGGTATTGGCTCTTCTTAGTAGTTAAGAAATCATGGGCTATAAAATATATATAATAAAAAGTATAAAGTATTCTTGCAGTAGTTAACTTTTATAAAGCTAAAGAGTATTATTTGTGGGAATATAAGGTTTAGTGAAATGTAATAAAAATAATAGTTGGAAAGAACATTAAGCTTTTGGAATTTGTTCCATTCTGTTATAAATCATTTTTCTAAATTGCTGAGCTTTGTGACATTGCCACCAAATATAGGCCAAAACTGATTTCTAAAATTTTTTATTAAATTTATTTTTCATATGTGTGCAAGAAATAATACGCTGTAGGTGGAACAGGTTTTAATCTTACTTTTCTGATGAACCTACTTTAGTATTGTTGAATTAAAAATATAATATCAATAGTAATTATTGATCAAATTAAATTCTTTTTCAGGAGCTTAACATGGGCCAGCGCTGTTCAGATACGAGAGGGATTGTTTTTGAGGATGTAAGAATACCCAAAGAAAATGTACTTATGGGTGAAGGAGCTGGCTTTAAAATTGCCATGGGAGCATTTGATAAAACAAGGCCTCCAGTAAGTATTCAAAGTACATTTGAAAGATGAATTCTAATTGTAGAATTTTTGCTTAGTAATATTTATTACTGATCTACAGGTAGCAGCTGGTGCTGTTGGATTAGCACAGAGAGCTTTGGATGAAGCTACAAAATATGCTATGGAAAGAAAAACCTTTGGGAAGGTCATTGCAGAGGTATGTGAAATTCCAACTACAGATGTAATATGGTTTGAAATCAAATACTTCATTACTAAATTTAAGCTCAATTAGACTTTCGTTTTTTTCTTGCCCGTTTCTGACCCTGTATCATCTTGCAGATTTTGAGTATAGGTAGAGCAATATTTTTCAACCTTGGCAACTTTAAGCTATGGAGGTTTCAACTCCCAGAATTCCCCAGCCAGCATTAGGAAGTCTAGGAAATGAAGCTAAAATTGCCAAAGTTGGGAAATACTGGTGTAGAGAGTGAAATTGTTCCTGCTAATGGAAGCACATATTTGAATGTTCGTAATTTGTAGGAAGTATGTTTTAAAAAAAAAAATCTTTCACAGAATGCTTATAGAGCCCTGTATTTGAAAATTTTCAATAAAACAAAAGTCATATTAAAGTCACAATAACAAAATATTCTGTTGATCTTACCAGACTCCACTTACTGTAAATGAAGAGACTCTTGTTTGGCATAAGAAATTTAAAAATGGCTCCAGTTGTTACCTAAGATACTAGGCCAGGGATAGGCAACCTCGGCTCTTTTATGACTCATGGACTTCAACTCCCAGAATTCCTGAGTCAGCTTAGCTGACTTAGCTGACTCAGCTGAGTCAGCTTAGCTTAGCTGACTCAGGAATTCTGGGAGTTGAAGTCCATGAGTCATAAAAGAGCCGAGGTTGCCTACCCTTGTACTAGGCCAATGTATTGTATACCTACTGTTGATACTGTCGTATGTTACATCATATGTTCCATCTGAAATGATGGTAGGTAAATTGTGGTCTTCAGCAACTGTGGCCAATGATTAAAGATGGTGAGAGTTGCAATACAACATCCCAGAAGGACACAGACTACTACCCCTTTACAGAGTCATATATATTTGTTTTGTGCTCGCTGTATACAGTAGTCCTTGACTTATGACCACAATGGAGCGTAACATTTTATTGCTAAGAGAAACATTTGTTAAGTGAGTTTTGTCCCATTTATAACCTTTTTTCCACAGTGGTTAAGTGAATCATTGCAGTTGTTAAGCTAGTAATAAGGTTGTTAAATGAATCTAACTTCCCCATTGACTTTGCTTGTCAGAAGGTTACAAAAGGTGACTGCATGACCCCGGGACACTGCAACCATCATAAATAGGAGTCAGTTGCCAAGCATCTGAATTTTGATAATGTGACTGTGGGGATACTATAACAATTGTAAACAGTCATAAGTCACTTTTTTTCAATACCATTCGGTCAGTAAATGAACTGTTGTAAGTCAAGGACTGTCTGTACTAACACACGTTTTAGGCATACTTGACAAAAAGCCATTTGAGGACTTTCTTGTGGAGCCCTTAATGTTCTCTGAGCTTGGTTGTTTTCTTGCAGACATTTCATTACCCAGCTAAGTAACATCAGTGCTAGCTTAGCCTAGTTGGGAATGAAATATCTGCAAGAAAACAACCAAGCTCAGAGAGCATCAACCTACACATATTTTCTTCTATCAGCAAGGAGCTTCCTGTTTATCCAGAACATATGAAATTTACTGCCCAGAGTCACAGAGTGACATATACCGTAAATGCCGGCGTATAAGACGACTTCCGCGAGCGCTGAAATCGGCGCCAAAGACGGGGGTCGTCTTATACGCCGAGTCGTCTTATACGCCGGAAATACTGGTAGTTTCCGGCGTATAAGACGATGTTCTAGGAATGCGGCCCGGCTATAAAGACGGGGGTCGTCTTATACGCCGGGTCGCCTAGTACGGCGGCATATACGGTAATAAATAAGATTAAATTCTGCATACTGCTTAAATACACACTACCATTGCATATCTGGAAATTAACTTTTCAACACTTACTTTCACCTCTCCCTCAAACAATCCCAGCACCAAGCAGTGTCCTTCATGTTGGCTGAAATGGCACTGAAAGTGGAACTGTCTCGCCTGGCCTACCAGAGGGCAGCATGGGAGATAGATGCTGGTCGTAGAAATACCTATTTTGCCTCTATAGCAAAGGCATATGCTGGAGACATTGCAAATCAAGTAGCTTCTGATGCTGTCCAGATTTTCGGAGGAAATGGATTCAATAGTGAATATCCAGTAGAGAAACTAATGAGAGACGCAAAAATATACCAGGTAAGTAATCTGATTGTCAATATCATTAGTCAATTGTCAATATCCTTAGTATATTTAAGATAAATTTACATTCATATAATTCTAAAGAAAATGTGCCTTTTTTGGCCGGTGCGCATGTAGGCACTCTCTATCATCAGGATTCATGGCAGCTCTTCTATTGCCCTCTGAAAGAATGTAGTATTACTTTTAATGCAATGTTTAATATGCTCTTTATATTCTTTTTAATTACTCAGAGTGTTTTTCTTTTTGTCTATTAACTAATTGTAGATTTAGTAATACAACAGATTTTACCATAGCACCGAACAAAGAAAAGACACGTTTTACATGGAGAAAAATGTAAAGAGCATAGTTTGAAAATATGTCCCCTTTGTTGTATTCACTTCCGGTCCCGTAAAAGTTACTGGAAAGTAATCTTATCTCATTCAGTAGTATAGGTAGCCATCACCTAATGACCACAATTGAGACTGGCAACTCCATCACTAAGCAGTATGGCTGTTAAGTGAAGTATTCTATGACTGTGTTGCTTTTATGACATCAATTCCGTTGCAGTCATAAAGTAAACCACTGTGGTTGTTAAGCAACACATCCCATTATCATGAATTGTGGTTTTACTGCCGACTTCTGCATCGATTCTCCTTGTTGTGAAGCACGCAAATAGCGATCGCATAACTATGAAACACTGCAGTGATTGTAAAAAGTGCACCAGTTGCAAAGCAGTCAAGTATTGACTGGGGTGAGGGGATACAATGACAGTTGCAAGTTCAAGGACCAATTGTAAAATTACTTTTTAAGTGCCATCATAACTTTAGACAGTCATTAAAAAGGGCATTCGTTGACCAAGGACTACCCGTATGTATTTCCAAGTTGGAACACTGCTGTTTTTGACTTAAATACACCACTTTTTGGTGACTATGTTTCTTCTTGTGTTTTGCTTTGCTGAGACGTTGCAGTGTTTTGTTTAGTTTCTATAATGTGCAGCAATTCAGTTTTTAAATATACAGGTGCAGATTTCATCATACCTGCTTCTTACATATTTTCACATCACACTATGTATAATTAAACTTCATTAGTTTTATATACGGTAGAGATTTTGAGTGTGATGTGCCGTGGTATTATTCAGAAGAAAAAGACAAACATCCCAGTAGACCTAAGTTCAGGTTTAATTAAAAGTAGCTCTTTGGATTATCAATTAAGTTTATATTTTTGTTATATCATTGTATTTTATTATCACAATTATGCATTTACAATATTTTTACATATTACCCACGATAATTTAAGCTATATTGTTTTCATGAACATTTTGTGTATCATATATTTTCTTTTTTTCAGATTTATGAAGGAACAGCTCAAATTCAGAGAATAATTATAGTTCGTGAACATATTGGCAGGTTTAAAGCTTGAGAATGTACATTAGCTTGATTTACAAATGTTGGGCTTTTTTTTTTTCCTGGTGCTTTACTTTTCATGTTGAACGAAAATGGCATCAATAGTAATATTGTCAAAACCTAATACATGAAAAAGCCAGCCACTTAATTTCTGGAACTATTCAAGATATTTTATATTTTTGTTCAACTTTATCATGACATGTTTGTCTCTGTTGTCTGAAATCTCTGTAGTATATTTAAGTGCCTTGGATTTCTGTAATTGAACAGGTCCCTGACATGAAGAATTCAATATAAAATTGAAACCTGGGAGCCATGTGTAAATTAGATGTTGTTAGGTTTGCATTGCAACAATTACTACATATTATATATTGATTACAAGATTTAAAATAGTTTTGTAGATAAATTATTTTGCCTGCAGTTGGATTCATAAAGAATATAGAAGAGTTACTTTTGTTTTACAGAGCAGAATGAAATTTAATGAAAGCTCCTTGCTGAAAGATGCCCCCCCAAAAAAGTATCCCAATTTCCTTTCCCATGCCTTAACTCCACTGATTGGAATGCACTTCAACACTCTATGATAAATTTTTGAGCATGTTGTCAAGGAAGAAGAGAGACATATATGGCAATGGTGCCTTAAATGTTATGGTATTCCTTGATAGGTACTCCTTGACCTATGACCATTCAATCAACAATTCCAAGTTACACTGGCACTGAATGAGTGGTGGTTACAACCAGTTCTTGGAATTCTGGCCATCCCAGGTTCCCGGTAGTCATGTGATTACAATCTGGGTGCTTGACAACCAATTCACACTTAACAGCTAATTGATATGCATCCCACAATCACATGATTGCCACCTGCAGTCTTCCCTGCCAACTTTCCCAGAAGGCCAGTGGGGAAGCTAGGAGAAAAGATTGCAAGTTGCTGGGGCAAGTGTTTCCTATCACATACCGTCTCCTAGCCTCTATGCACTCACTTTGCATTAGCACTCAGCCTTCAGATCTACGCACACATTACTGACCTGCATGGCACTTTGTGCATTCTCACCAATCCTCACAGCATCTCTCACATACTTTTTCCTGACCCATGCAGCATTCTTCAAGCACCCCTTTACATCGCATCATTTGAGAATGCAAATTCCTGTCACAATTCCTGTTGTAAGGACTATTTGTGGTCAGATATGATAAACAGCCATGCAATCCAATTTTTCCCCTAATAATTTTATTATATTTGCAATATTCTAATGAGCGGTAATTCAAATTACTAGTACAAAATTCTATATGCTTAAATGGGAACTTTTTTTTATAATGGATGTATATAGTTATTTTGGTATTGAAACTGAGACAGCTGATTCACATTAATCCTTATCTGCACTGAAATATGTTAAACTGTCTTACCCCAAAGAGTCTGAGTTTATTTAAATAGCAAAACCAAATGGAAAAGTTAAAAAAAAAAAAACACCTTTAGGTCATGTTCCTGATTTTATTTCCCCAATAAAACATTATTTGCTAATGAAATGTTTTTTTCTTCTCTCGCACCTTGCACACCCCCTAGATCAGGCATGTCAAACTTGCGACGTATCGTGACTTTTTCCCCATTGCCAGCACTGGGGTGGGTGCAGTTTCAGTATGATGCATCTGACCCGTGGGCTGGCAGTTTGACATGCCTACTCTAGATCTACTTTAAGGGTCTTCATTTACTTTTGACAAAAGTGACAGGAACCCCCATCATAGCAGGGAAAATCTGCTAAAATAATATTAGATTTATAACAGAAAGATTAATGTTTGTATGTGTAAGTTATGCTTGCAGAACTATACAAGCACGGAAAGGATTTACCCACATAACGTCTTTACCTCTAGTCTGGAACTGCCTGCTTACTGTTCATTGAGTACATTAGCACAGCAATCTATCACTGGGTTAAGGTTATTTTGAAGAAGACTGCCATTGTTTTCTTTTGGAAAATGCAAGAAAACCTCCTGTCTGAATAATTTTTGTGCAGTACTACCTCTCACCTATTGCATTTAGCCATAGGGTTGTCTACCTGGAGAAGTAACTGTTGCTGAAAGGGTCAGACACCTCTTTTGTTTAGCTTTTCCTTCCGTTGGTGGGGGTTCAGTCTGGGGAATATGAACCTTGTGGAATACCTCATTATTTTGATCAAAATGCAGCACACAACACAGATTGTCACCCAGATCTGAGAAGCACCCAGGCTAAATGCAGATCTTCAGCTTCCCTCTTTTTATTGGTTATGTCTGTACTACCAACAAAGCCATCATTCGTACCCCAATAGCAGCAACTATTGTTGTGAGGACAGCAACACTGAAGACCTTGTTGTGGAGCCAAAATAAGGGACAGAGTCAAGTCATTTTCAGATGATATACTTTTCTCCCTTTCCAGAGTAGGAGGAAGATACAGTGGAGTCCAAGTGCTTCAAAAAATAATTTTGTCACCTTTTCCAGGCTGATGACTATTAGCAGTTGTTTTCAAAGATCCTCAGAATTTTTTTCCAGCTGTTACACACTTTCATATATCTGCCTTGTGAATATCTCACTGATAATGAAGAACTTGAATCTGTTCTTGAACTAAGGCAGGACCTCCCGCATTCACACCTGATTATCATCCCGTTAATTGAAACACCTAACTAATTTCACCATCAAATGAGGGTGAGATTCATATACTTGTGCCACACAGAAATATGTATCTTTGGATCATTTTCCTCAATAAATTAACAAGTGTGCTTTTGACTCCTTTGTTTAATTTGCTTTTCTAATTGTAGGACTTCTATGGGGAACAGATCAAATGTTAAGTTATATTTATGTAGAAATGGTGAAAATTAGAAAGGATTTACTAGTATATATACTGGGGACTTTGTAAATGATCCAGTATAGTGAATAGGTAATATCGCTTTCGTTTCCTTTGGCATTTTTTAAAAGAAAATGATCTTACACAATTCGAATTTAATGTCCAATGTGATATCCCCAAACTGTGTCTTAAGGTATATTAGCAAAGGAACTAATTAAGTCTTTTACAGTAGGTTTAAATTGTTAACTTTTTGAAGTCAATATAAGATTATAGAACTTTAGATAACTACAACAATCAGTTCCTTGGATCAATCTGAAAACCACAAAGGCGAGGGGGTGGAAGTTGGGAAGCGAGGAAAAGCAAATACAGGTAATACATTACTCACAAGTTTCATTTAGTGATGTTTATAACAACTGGAAAAAGTGACATGGCCATTTTTCACACTTACAACCATTGCAGCATCCCATGATCATGTGAACAAATTTCGGATGCTTGGCAACTGGTTCATATGGTTGCAGTATCCTGGGTCATGTGATCAACTTTTCCACTCTTCTGACAAGCAAAATCAGTGGGGAACCTGGATTCACTTAATAACGATGTTACTAACTTAACAACTGCAGTGATTCAGTTAACAACTGTGACAAGAAAAAATTGGGCAAAAGTCACTTAACAAATGTCTCAATTTCTCAAACAGAAATTTGGGGTTGGATTGTCTTGGACTACCTGTAAAGACGGCACCCTCCCACACACCAATATCTGTTTTCTATTAACCTATGAACCAGATTGATTATTATTAAATGAAATTGATAACTTCCAATTTAGTGTTCTCCAAGTATAAAACCGAATGTCTCGGAATGTTTTCTTTAAATGAAAACAAGCACCCAAATCCTCCCTCCTCGACTTCAATAAGCAATTTCTGCGGTACAGCTGTTTTTTTTTTTTTTTTTTTTTTAAAGAATTAAAAAGCGCCGCAGAAACATTTTTTTTCCCGTACAGGCAATTCTTAAGACAGCCTCCCCGGATCCATTCGGGACACGAGACGGAAATCGACTCCTTTTCCGATTTCCGGTGAGCGATGCGCCTGCGTTGCAGAGGCACGTGAGAAGATATCGCTGATGTACCATTATGGTGAGTGCCTGCTTCCTTTTGCCGCTCTTGCAGCTTTTCGCGCCCTCGCTGCTAGTCCCGCCTCTCCCCTCCCCCTCTGCGGCTTTCCTCGGGGAGGGAAAATAGTCGGTGCAGCCCCCGTGTTAGCCCTGTCGGCCATTCCGCGGGTGTTTGAGGCTGAGGCCGAGATGATAGGAAGGGGGAAGCAGCATGGGGGGGGGGGGGAAGGCAGTCCTTTCCGTGGTTTTTTGGCTACTGGGGCGGGATTTGTGTTTGCTGTCAAGCGAGAAATTGATCATGGCTGCTTAGGCGATCCACGTTTCCCGAGCTTCCCATTTCCCCAAGAGTCGGGTTTTTTTCCTCCCCCTCTGTACGTAACCTGCTGAAAAAGGCGATCCATAATGGTAATAATTGAGAGCGATTGCAGCGCGTTTTCCTTTATAGTCCAAGTCGCCCCCCCTCTCCCCCCAGCTATTTGCGAGAGACACCGTGGAAACTTATACCGTGAATTTCTTGCTGGGTGAGTATAGCGATGTTTAGGGCAGGAATTCCTGTCTGTTCGAACTATATAGCATGTGAACGTTCAGGTTGTGCAAAAGCCAAAATGTAGGATCTAGCTTAAGCAATTGCTTTTATAACTGTGCTTTTTATTCTGGTTTAAAAAGAAAACTCTTGGTGATCTGCAGATTAAACTTTAAGCTTCTCAATTTGCCGTGCAAGTTTTGTTTTGTTTTCCCCTGCCGCCTCCACCCACAAAATCGTAAGGGGAAAGTGGAGCACCATGTGCTTTAATTTCAGAATTTAAAACTGCAAGACTCAAAGAAGTTTTACCATGAGACAAACAGCATTAAGAGCAAGAACTAGAATGAGATGTCTAAATTGCGTGTCCCTTAAGAAATTTTTTAATTCTGAGCAAGATAGCAAATTTTAGAAAATAAAAGAAGCAACTAATGGCTAACCACATGCTCTCATTAGCTAGGTGGCCATCTTGGGGGGAAAAATCAATTTAGCCATGGTATAGTTTTCTGTTGCTGACAGATTTATACTTATACCTTTAGAGGGTTTTTTTCTGGCTTTAAAATGTGCTCTACTAGTGTCATTAATATTAATATTTTCTCCATTTTTTACTAACGTTGTTAAATAGCTCAAGATAAAATGCCTATTTTTTTCTACCTGTAGAAAAATATAAAAAGTACATAGTAGTAAAACATACATTATTACTGTATCCAGATTTTTTTCTACTTCTATGAATGTTAGCATTTTTACATTTAGTTTACTGACTACAATAAATATATGTAATCCATTGTTTGGACATAAGTTGGAAAACTGCATTATATATTTGATTGGAACAACTTTTTGATGAGTTTTACTATAACATTTTTAAGGGAACACCACAAAAAGATGTCATAATAAAAAATGATGCTCCATCAACATTACTGTTAAAGAAGCATGCAGACTATATAGCTGCTTATGGAATGAAGAAAGATGATTATGTGAGTATTCTGTTAACACATTAACAGAAATAGTATTTAGCGCTCTTTAGAGTGAATGAGTGTGTATGTGTATATATCGAATATAATAGGGTTTTTATTGGTTAATTTGTTAAATGTTTATGCTGCCCATTTACGCTATGAGGCAACTCTTATAAAAATTGCAGATGGTTTCTTTAGGTCAGTGATGTAATCTGGCATGTATTATCTGACTTCAGAGCTGTAGAAGTCTCTTTAGAATGACACTGAGACCTAAAAAGCCTATTTTTATGTTAATTTGAACATATTTGTATGTTTAATACTTAGCTCTGCTTTTCAAATGTTGCTTTGTTTAAAAATTTGAAATGAAATAATATGCTACTTTAGCCCATTATAAGGGTTAATTATAGGCAATGTTAGCTGATGATAGCCAAAATCCAAAGGAATCTGATAGCACCTTTCCAAGATTTTATTAAAATGCATAAGCTTTGGGGAACTACAATCAGATTCATGGAGTAATTAAGCTGATGTAGATTTAAATTGGATAAGATAGGATATGTGTGAGGAGGGAAAGACAAGATGGTTATGGAGATATGAGACAGACCACCAGTATTTATCATTTAACAACTGTCAGTTTTAAGGATTTGTACGTTCACAACTGTTAGTTTAGACAAAGAATGTATAATTTGGAACTTCTTAGCAATTTGCAAGACATTCTAGATACAAACTGTTTCATGCATGAAACAACTAATTTTAGGCATTCTGTACTGAGTGAAATCATACTTGTTTAGGCTATTATAGGGTATGCTTGCTAAAGAAATAAAAATCCCTTTGTTGAGAATTCTTCCCCTAATCATCTAAGTAAATGTTCATGCTCCCTTTTATGCCTTTTTAGATTAGAAACTAATTTAAATGTGATATACTTATTTCAGGAATACTGTATGTCAGAATACTTAAGAATGAGTGGTGTCTATTGGGGATTGACAGTAATGGATCTCATGGGGCAACTTCATCATATGAACAAAGAAGAAATTCTGGCTTTTATCAAATCTTGCCAACATGAATGTGGTGGAATAAGTGCCAGCATAGGCCACGATCCTCATCTTTTATATACGTTAAGTGCTGTTCAGGTAAACACATATATTATTTATATAGATTCACTAGTGGCTTATCCATAGTGTAATGCCTAAGTAATTTATTTTCAAGGCTCTAAGATCCAATTTTCTTTTTAAAAAAAGATTCCTTACATTTATAGATAACTCCCCATAACTGAGAGCACTAATGCTTCTAACACAGCATTATAGTTTCTTAGGTCAGTGATGAAACAATGTTTTATCTGAATCTGCAGTTGATGTGGTTTAACACTCAGCTCTAGAATTACTCTGAGACCTGAGAATTTTTTTAAAAAAATTAATAATTTATGCGTTAGATTTCTGGATTTTGTCAGGGCAACTTAAATCTTAAATCTTAATTCAAAATACTAGGATATCTTAGACCTGGATAAATAAATCTGCTACCTTCAGATTATATCTCACATCATATTAACCAACACAAACTATACTAAAGTACATTTAAATCATATTAGATCACCTTCCTTCCATTAGGTTAATCAGCTATGATCAAATGAAATCCCATGTTTCAAAAATTCTTATGTTTGTTAATAAATTTTATTTTATACTAATTGTTGCTCATGTACACAAGCATAAAAACATGGAGTAATGTCATATAACTTTTAGCTGTATAATTAAAATTAATGCTGTAAATGTTCTTGATAATCTGGATAAACATTTATAGTGGCCTTTTGAATTCCCTTAAATTATATTAGTGGAAACAGTTACTATAGACAGTTTGAAAAAAATATTATGAAAATAATTCTACTTGCATATCAATGATCATTTAGTTCAAGGGTATCAAATTCACCGTGTCATGTGACGTGTCGCAACGTATCTTGACTTTTTGCAGTGCCGGAAGTGGGGTGGGTACGGCCTCCATATGATGCAACTGGCCCACAGGCCAGCAGTTTAACACCCTGATTTAGTGGTTTGGAATTATGAAATACTTGAGTTTTTAATTCAAAAGACACAGGTTGGGTACAATCTGTCATATGTAAAGTCATTGAAAACAGTAAAACCTATTAGTCATGACTAACTTTCCATTGATTTACATAAATCTTTAATTGAAATTAAATATGGGTTATAACTCATCATATTTTGGGCATAATATGTTAAACTTGAATGTATCTGTAAATATTTTATATTGGGGGTAGTAAAAAAATAGGGAAAACAGGATTGGAATTTTTTGTAACATTTCAGGCTAATGTAAAATAAAATTCTAATTAAAATAGTTGGATCATTTTCAA